TGGCGGAGTTTGCCTCACAGGTTTATTGGGAAATTCCGTTTTGAAGTCAGGTTCAGGGACTTTCCCTCATCAAACTTCTCATCTCCAGCCAAGTAACAACGGGAGGAAGACCAATTCGTCTTCGCTTAATACGTACCTGCTCCCACCAAGCAGCTGCGTACCCACCAAATTCATATGAAGCAAGCGCAACCTTCTGCTCCTCAGGATAGTTGTGACAATCAAAGAATAAGATCACCTTTCGTTCCCAATCCAAATATTCAGCTGGATTGAGGCCTCCTTGGAACGAGGGAATACTGAGTTTGATTCCCTTTAGTTCACCGACACCCCCTGTTTTAGGTGGACGTCGATCGTTATCACGAAATTCATGATTTGGATCGCGATGATGGGTGACCACGAGAGCCAGCTGCCGTTCCAAGTTTCTAATTCGCTCAGTGAGTACCTGAGGGCTTTTCTCTCAATCTTCATCAAGAATTGTCTTGTGTCTCGTCGTCGACTTTGGAGATTTTGGCTCTGTTTTCATCGCCTTCAACTCTGCCAATTGGTGGTTGATGTTGTCGAATTGTGCTTGGAACGTGGCGTTCAGCTGCGCCAGTATCGTTTGCAGCAGCTCTGTCGTATTTATTTGCCCTGCCATGCTCGATTCGTTGCACGCAATTTCTTCTTCTATCTCAGAGTCAGACTCTGTTTCTGCTGGGTCTTCTCGCAATGCGATAGGATCCTTGCGTCTGGTCCTTGCTGCAACAAGCCGAGCGTCCTGCTTCTTCTTTGTGTTGCTGCTGTGTTTGAACCAGGCGATGATGCCACTTAATAAGCCCTCAATTGGCTTAACTCAGAATCACGCAGCGATGAAACAACGATGGATGAATTTGGGTTGAAAATTGGTGGAATTCACACGAACTAAATCAGCAACTTCAACACGAAAAGGGAAGAGGCTAATCAAGGTAGAACTACCACGAGATCAAGGGTGAATATCCTGATCTCTAGGTCTGCAATTCTCGGCTAAACAACCAAGAACCAAAAGCTCGCAAGCTGGAAAACTTCTCGGAGTAATTCGATTAAACTTCAACGTGTCTTTTTACAACTCAAAGCTTGAATATTTATAACCACGAAACCTAATTACAATCCTAAACAAACAAGGAAACAATTCTGAATAAACAAGGAAAAGAAAACGTTGAAAACAATTAAAACTTGCATCCCAAGTAACTAACTTCTCTCACAAGCTAACTACCCAAAAACAGCCCTTGATAGCAACTTCGTGGCTCTGGAAATCGATCTTCTGGGTTGAGTCGAGCTCAACCAATTCCTTCCCTTGGTCTAGAAAGTCTTGCTCTTCCATTCCCAACCCTAAGCTCCAGCTGGTCATGCCCCAAACTTCTTGAATTCGAGCTCAAAGTTGGTACCTCAAACTGTCTACCTTCCTTAGCCAAAAACTGACAATTTCCAGAATTCTTCATAGCATTTTTATACAACTGGAAAGTGACCTTCTAGACTTCCCCTTGAGCCACTAAGCATACAAACTTATAGATAAAGTGTTTATCTTCAAAACAAACCATCAAACACCAATTTTCATTGAGCCAATTAATAGAACCATACCTCCAATGTACCCTTCCCGTAACTGCCTCAACACTTATAAAATTTCCATTCTTGTTCGTATTAACTTGACCCGATATTTGAACGATTTGTTGGATTTTATTCAAGGGTGGAATTGAGATCATACCAGAACATACCGAGTTTAGAAAGGAGATGTCGAAATTGATCAAGACCAAGGCCTTTTGTGAGAAGAATAGCAGGTTGCTCGATAGTGGCGATCTTACATGGCGTTATGTGTGAGGCTTGAACTTGTTCACGGACGAAATAGAAATCCATCTCACAAAATATGAAGTCAGTTTCAGTCCAAATTTGAACTCAGACCAACTGACCCATTTGGCTGATATTCTGGGAATAAAGCAAGTGTTAGCTCACCAAAAGTATCTAGGCCTTCCTACGGTGGTTGGCAGACAAAAGAAAGAAGTCTTTGGGGGGGGGGGGGTACTAGTGGATAGAGTGAGGAAGAAATCAAACATTGGAAGGGGAAGACGCTTTCAGTGGCAGCTAAAGAGGTTTTAATCAAGTCAGTGGCTCAGTCACAGACCACCTACACTATGTCAGTTTTTCAGGTTCCTGATGGGGTACTTGATGAACTAAGGAAAGCTATCTCAAGTTTATTGGTGGGGGCAGCAGAAGGAAGAGAGACGTATCCCTTGGAAGGCTTGGAAAAAACTCTATAAGCCTAAGGAAGAGAGATGCTTAGGATTCAGAGACCTCAAGACCTTTAATTTGGCTCTACTGGGGAAACAGATATGTAGCCTCTTTCAAAACCCAACATCGCTGGTAGCACGAGTCCTGAAGGCTAAATACTATCCGAATACAGATGTGCTCTAGGCAAGGGTGGGGTATAATCTTAACTTCATGTAGAGAAGCCTAATGGCAGCTCAGACAATGGTTTGAAGATGGAAGAATGGCTAATATCTGGCAGGACAGGTGGCTGGCAAATGTAGTGGAAGATGGCTACAAGGTAACCACTCTACAGTGTGCAATTGGGGAGACATCCACAGTTGCTGAGCTAATTGATCATGACAGCAGATCATGGAAGTCTAATATCCTGCAGCAGCACTTTAATCAAGTGGACAAAGTCAGCATCCAAGGGACCCCAATCCCCAGACAACCGACACAAGATGAGCGAGTATGGTGCTTTGAGAAGAATGGCAGGTATTCTGTAAAAACAGCTTATCGGTACTGGTTCAAGAAGAAAACAGTTTATGAGATACATTGGGAGGAAGTGATGCTCGAGACTGAGGAACATGGGACAGAAGTGGAGGTGTATGACCCTATGAATTGGAAGCGTCTATGGAAACTCACTATCCCCCAAAAGGTAAAGGTTTTTCCTATAGAAACTGGCTCACAATATACTCCCCACAGGGAAGAACTTGGAGATCAGGAAGAGGGATGCAAGCCCCAACTGTCCTTTTTGCGATATGGTGGAATCCCAAAATCACATCTTCAGGGAGTGTGAGTGGGCAATACGAATATGGAAACCTACTTCCTTCAGCAAGCTATTCGAACTAGATGGAACCCTATCTCCTGGGAGCTGGTTGTGCGAAATAATGGAAATGGTAGATGATGACACTCTAGGGCAGTTTGGGGTTCTGCTATGGTTCATTTGGTATGAGAGGAACAATCAGTGCTATAACAACCATAAGGAAGACGAATGGGAAATCGCAGGAAAAGCGATCGCTCACTGGGAGGAATACCAAAACCAGAACAACCAGGGGACGATTCAGGCAGAGGAGCGAAGCCGTACCTGGCAAAAACCACGGTGGGGTGGCTGAAAATGAATGTCGATGTGGTAGTGGTGACTTGCAAGGGCACAGGATACGGAGCCGTCGTACGAGATGAGATGTGGAATTTCCTGTATGCAGCAGTTAGAAGAGAGCGAGCTCAGTGGTCACCAGAGTTGGATGAAATCCGGGCGATCCAATTCGGTCTCCGGTTGAAGGAAATGCATGATCTCCGGCAGATTGTGGTAGAGACGGATTGCCAGACTATCTTTTTATCGCTAAAAAACAAGGTGAGGACAAGGACGGAGGCTGGTCTTTCGATTGAGGAGATCGAAATGGAAGCTAACAGGATCGGGTCGATCAAATGGAGCTTTGCAAGAAGAGAATGTGATAGACCAATAATTACACATGTTTCTACCCCTATTCTTGAGCCGTTTGAGATGTTGATTCCCGCGTTTTAGGCCGATTTCACGCTAGGTTGTTCGTGTTTGTGATATTTCAGGTCCTAGCACATGAATGAAGGCCTGGGAACGAGTTCGGGGTCGATTGGACGAAGATTGGACGTTTGGCGAGAAGCTGGGAAGCCACATGGGCACCATTGCACCTCACACGGCCGTGTAGGGGCCCTTTGTGGCCGTGTGAAGGCTCGGTAAAGGCCACACGGGCAGCCTGGGGAGCCACACGGTCGTGTGGCCTCTGCCCGTGCAGCTTGCCTGGTTGCCCACTAATTGAAACGCCGCGTTTGGACACTCACACGGGGAGCTGGGAAAGTCACACGGCCGTGTGGCCTGGCCGTGTGAGTCGGGAATTTCTGGTTTTAAGCCAATTTCGAGCCAAAGGAGAAAGAGAGCTGGGTTTTGGTTCCCAAACACCCAAGGGACGAACCCTAGAGAGAGATAGAAACTTAGGAACATTCTTGGAGCTATTTTGGAGGATTTCTTTGCCATTGGAGCTCGGGAATCAAGCTTGGAGATGGAGATTGAAGATCTAGATTAGATTTCTACAGTCTCTCTCTTCTCTATGGAGTAACTTCCCTTCAGTTAGGTTGTGAGGAACTCTAGTTCATGTGTTAGGATCTTTCTTGTATGAAGTTTGGGATGCTATATTGTTTGATTATAATCGATTGAGGCATGATTTATAGAGTCAATTGAAGCCTGATCATCTTCTCTTGATTTCTGCTTTAACCTATGATAGATAGAATCTGATTAGGTTAAGAGAGCTTCCTTGATTGATAGTGGTGAATTGGTTGTGCGAGAGTCAATCAATTCACAGCTTTGTACTGGAATTCATTCCAGTAGTGGAGATCTGTGTGAATCACCTTAGCAGTCTATCCCGGTGAAGGCTAGTCGCCTGCCGGGTATTCTGTCTAAGATGGCTTGGTCAGCTTAAGAGATTCCAAGCTAATTTAGGATCTTTCGCAGTTTAATCAACAGTAGATCAACCAAAGGGAATTGCAACTTGGACCTAATCGAGGAGCTAGGGGGAATCATACCTAAGTGAGTTCCCAACTTGTAATTAGTAGAGTAGTTAGTAGAGTAGTTTACTAAATGAATCTTTAATCTAGTTTGCTAGATAATGAACTGAAGCTGAGTAATAGTAACTCTAAAGACCCGTGGATTCGATATTTATTACTTGTGCCACTATACTGCAGTCCCTTTCCTTGGTTACCCTTGGCCACTGTCAGGAGTTGTGTCATAGCGTGTCAAGTTTTTGGCGCCGTTTCCGGGGACTTTCTAGATTATTAGGAAAGGCAGAAGTTTGTTACTTTAGCGTTTTTCTTTTCTTTTCCACCCTTGCTTTTGACTTGGGTGTTTTTGTTTTTGTTGGTGCAGATCTGACTCATGGATCCTCATGCCTTCTCCAACCATTGGTGGTATCCACCACCATCCGAGTGGTATTACCCCGAGAATCCCTGCAGCAATCAAGGAGGAGAAGACTATGGATTCGGGTTCCAGTACCAACCCCCTTACTACGTAGAACAATCAGACCGCTGGGCATATCAAGAACAACATCATTATCAAGAAGAATTTCTACCACAACCAGAAGGGCCATCGGAGCTGGAGTTACCCATGGCGGCCTTCACGGGCCATTCTGCAGATCCATGCTACACTCAACAACCAGATCCAAACTATCACTTGAGGCTTCTCGTGGAGCAGATTGCTCGAGTACCTGAGAGATCCTTTCCCAAGATGGATCCTCATATCCAGGCCATGCCCCAAACTGACTTCTCCTTTCCCCGTGAAACAGAGGATACCCTTCGGAGCATAAAGAAGCACATAGAGGTCATTGAGAAAGCTTATGCACAGTTTTCTCAAGACAACCTTTATGGTGCCATACAAGTAGAGGAGGAGGAAGAAGAAGGCAATCATGAGGATGTTGAGGAGCATGCAGAAGTTATCACAGAGAACTTCCATGATAATTATGATCAGGAAAGTCCTCTAGTTTCATATCACACCTTTCCTCATTTCTGCTCTAACATGCTGGGCCCGAGCAAGGAGATGCAAGATGATCTCATTGAAGAAATTACATGGCGACTTGCTCCCCAATCTGTTCTAGAAGAAGAAGAGCAAGAAAGGGTGTAGAAAGAAGTTGTGGAGGATGACAAAAGTGAAGCAGGAGGAGTTCTTGATCATTTCCCAGGGGTGATACCACATGAACAAGGAAGGGAGGTTGAAGAAGCAATTGGTGTCCAGGCCGAGGTCGGAGTTGAGGTGGAAGAGGCCTGCACCGGCCATGAGTTGCAAGTAATATCCCATCAAAATTTGAGGAATTGCTTAACAAGGACCCATTTGCAGTGTCTCTTTGCCAGACCAAGGCTACATCGACATCGGTTCCTCTTGGTGGACGCGATGGTGGTCAATTGATGTTGTCATATCTAGTTTGGGGCAATGAGACGAGAGAAGAGAAGAAGAGGTCTTGAGGGTGGAGACGTTATCTGCATCAAGTGCACGAGCTTCAATCACCTGTCATACCACATGCTCGTGACTTGAGACTCCACCTCATTGACGAGAACCTCAACTTCAAGGAGGTTTTGGGGCGGACCGAAACTTAGGAGCCATCGTCCGGCTCACGACGTGAAAGAAGCGCTTGTTGGGAGGCAACCCAACCAGTCGGTTTGCATTTCTCTCTTTTTATCCTCGGTTGAGTCAGTTTTGTTATTTGATTTTAGAGTCAATAACTCAACCTTTGTGAGATTTTGTGTGGTGTTTGTGTTCCGACTACTCTCTCCTCCTGGAATGCACCGCCTGCCCCGTCCACCATCATTCACCCTTGATCTGGTAACTTCGTTCTACCCTCCTTATCTTTCCTCCATTGAGGACAATGTTGTGCTTAAGTGTGGGGGGATGTTCGATTATGTATGCGGGTGAATGTCGGCTGTTTGTGTGCTTGGAGCCTAGTCCACTGTCCAAAATTTTTATTTGAGGGCTCCAAGTACGTGTTTCCTTGCAAATTGCCTGCTCAGTATGCTTTGAATTGACAGTCTCTATAGTAATGTGCAACCTAGGGAGGTAGTGTAGCACTATGGAGGATGTTGAAGTATAAGACTTTTCCTATCTAGCTCTCTACTGTGCCAGTTGATTTTGTGAATTAGTGGAGCTAGGACCGTTGAATTCATGTGGTATTGATGACTCCTCTTATGTTATGTTGTGGACTCGTGTATCGAAAAAGGGTGCTCAAGTGTGAAATGAAAAAGCAGTTCGTCCTCCATGTCAAAAATTTGCAATTCTAAGACATGGGGTAAGCCCAACGTGTGCGGCACCTTTCATTGCACAAAATTGGGTTTTGGAAGAGATTTTAGTGATCCTTGGTGGGGTAGGCCTACAAGGTGAAGCTAAGTTGTCTCTAGTACAAGTAAAATTTTCATCCGTTGAACGGTTTGCCTACTTGAGGATGTGTTTTTAAGGGAACGGATAGAGCTTCCGACCCCCCTTTATTTCATTGACCCTCCACACGAGTTGAGGAAAAAGAGTTAAAAGAAGTACTCCGGCGAGTGCCAGATGTACAGAAATTGCTCTTGCTCGACTAATAAGGGTCGACCGTGAAAAAGACTGCAATTGGAACCCCTGCCAAGTGAATGAAAAGAAAAAATAAATAATAAAAAAAAGAGTAAAATGAAAGTGAAAAAGGGGTTCCAACGGTGAAATGAAGTGAAAGAGCACCCCGGTATAACGAGTCATTGGTTGTGAATGTTGTGAGTCCCTTTATCCATGAACTGACTGTCTTACTTCTACTTATTCTCATGATCCTGGCTTGAGTTTAGTACTCTCATTGAGAGAGATAGGGGACGTCTTAGAAGAACAGCTGACCTCGTAAGCTGCTTTATGATTTAGAAAATCCTCTACCGGCGATCGGGGTTGTTTGTTGCTATAGAGGTCTGGAGAGCTGCATTGGTTTGAGTTAGGTTTGCTTGGGGACAAGCAAACGGTTAAGTGTGGGGGAGTTTGATAGACCAATAATTACACATGTTTCTACCCCTATTCTAGAGCCGTTTGAGATGTCGATTCCCGCGTTTTAGGCCGATTTCACGCTAGGTTGTTCGTGTTTGTGATACTTCAGGTCCTAGCACATGAATGAAGGCCTGGTAAAGAGTTCGGGGTCGATTGGACGTTTGGCGAGAAGCTGGGAACCCACACGGCACCATTGCACCTCACACGGCCGTGTAGGGGCCCTTTGTGGCCGTGTGAAGGCTCGGTAAAGGCCACACGGGCAGCCTGGGGAGCCACACGGCCGTGTGGCCTCTGCCCGTGCAGCTTGCCTGGTTGCCCACTAATCGAAATGCCGCGTTTGGACACTCACACGGGCAGCTGGGAAAGTCACACGGCCGTGTGGACTGGCCGTATAGTCGGGAATTTCTAGTTTTAAGCCAATTTCGAGCCAAAGGAGAAAGAGAGCTGGGTTTTGGTTCCCAAACACCCAAGGGACGAACCCTAGAGAGAGAGAGAAACTTAGGAACATTCATGGAGCTATTTTGGAGGATTTATTCGCCATTGGAGCTCAGGAATCAAGCTTGGAGATGGAGATTGAAGATCTAGATAAGATTTCTGCAGTCTCTCTCTTCTCTATGGAGTAACTTCCCTTCACTTAGGTTGTGAGGAACTCTAGTTCATGTGTTAGGATCTTTCTTGTATGAAGTTTTGGATGCTATATTGCTTGATTATAATCGATTGAGGCATGATTTATAGAGTCAATTGAAGCCTAATCATCTTCTCTTGATTTCTGCTTTAACCTATGATAGATAGAACATGATTAGGTTAAGAGAGCTTCCTTGATTGATAGTGGTGAATTGGTTGTGTGGGAGTCAATCAATTCACTGCTTTGTACTGGAATTCATTCCAGTAGTGGAGATCTGTGTGAATCGCTTTAGCAGTCTATCCCGGTGAAGGCTAGTCTCCTGTCGGGTATTCTGTCTAAGAGGGATTGGTCAGCTTAAGAGATTCCAAGCTAATTTAGGATCTTTCGCAGTTTAATCAACAGTAGATCAACCAAAGGGAATCGCAACTTGGACCTAATCGAGGAGCTAGGGGGAATCATACCTAAGTGAGTTCCCAACTTGTAATTAGTAGAGTAGTTAGTAGAGTAGTTTAGTAAATCAATCCTTAATCTAGTTTGCTAGATAATGAACTGAAGCTGAGTAATAGTAACTCTTGGGACCCGTGGATTCGATATTTTTTACTTGTGCCACTATACTGCAGTCCCTTTCCTTGGTTACACTTGGCCACTGTCAGGAGTTGTGTCGTAGCGTGTCAGAATGCAACCAAACAGGCCACTTATTGGCCCACACACAATGCTCTTGGGATGCAGAGGAGTTTTGGGCTGGAAGGCCACCTGTCTTTCTATTATCTATTTTGGAACATGATACCATAATCAATTAATAAACATCTAGGATTTGATTGTAAAAAAAAAAACAAAAACAAAATGAGTTTTTGTTCAAGAAAGAAATCTTATTGTAACTATTCATATCCACTTCATCCTTCAGAACCATATCACATCCTGGATCTTATGAAATAGAATGAATATATTAAATATTTCTTTCTTTTCCAATCGCTGGGAAGGAACAAAAGAAACATCTTATCATTTCTTCTACAATTTATGATCTCTAGTGGGCATCTTCGTAGGATTCAAACATAGATGAAGTTTAGACCACCTGTTCGAGAAAATATTGTATGATTCCCAAGAACTTCTTCGATTTTTTCTACTTCCGTGAATAGCCGGGACATTAATGACTCTTCAGAAGGGCATTTAGGGAATTGGTCTGATTCTATCTCTGTTCGTTCCGTTTGAAGAAAGGAAAGGTCACAAAGAATTGATCTTTCTTTTCGTTTTAGTTGTTTAATCTCTCTTTGATGGATCAATATGTGATATCCCGAAACCTTATTACTAATAGAATCGAAATGATCTTTGGATTAATCAGAACATCCCTTCAATTGGCTAGAACCGTTCCTTGAACGAAACTAGATCTTGTGGAATCATATTGAATATTTGACGATGTGTTCTCTCCTTCCTTAACACATGTTTAGAAAAATGCATAATGGAAAGCAAAATTATGCTATGAACCCATTTGGTTTTGAAATCTAGGAGACCAGAAACTGGAAAAGGCAAAGATGAGTACCAAACAAGTATATATGTCCATGAAATAGTAACAAATTGATAATCTTCTAAATCTATTGATTATGTGTTCATCGTTTGACCCAATATTTTTCACGAAAATAAAGAATATAACAAACTTACAAAGCTGTGCAACTATTTTGCTTTAAACATGAACTCTATGTTCAAGGGGACTGAAATTTCAGAGATTTACATAGCTAGAGTTTGAGGAAGTAAGTGCTAGCGACAACATCAACACATGTTACAATATCATTATGAACTCAACTACTAAAACAAACTAAGTACAACACCAAATGAATTAGCGATGAAAAAGGTAAACAAACTATGAGAATTAAGAAGTGTTGAAAGGGTAAAATCTAAACAAATTAGAATCAGATTCTGAACAAATGAAGTCTTCCACTTAATCACACACAGTTATGAGTTACCTTCCTTGAACATTCCCAACCACCCTTGCGCAACGCCGTTCTCCCTTTCTCTCTTTTTCAATTTGTGCCGCTCTCCCCTCTCCATTTCAGTTTCTACTATCTCCCAACACTTGATCTGTTAATTATGCTCACCCACCCTCAGCGCAGCATAACCGTCATCGGGAGGGACCGCCATGTTTCGTCGAGAGAAGAAGTTGGATGAGAGGAGTTCGATGGCACTGGGAAAACCACAGAAGACAATGGGTTCGTCGGCGGTGGATGTGCTGTCGGGTTGAACTCAGAAAATTATTGTTGATTTTTTTTTACTTACCATCGGTCAGAAATAAAAATCGATCAAGCGGTTTGAGCGGTTCGAATGGTTAATCATTTCGGCCGCTCAAAAACCGGCCCTTCTGACTGTTACGACTATTGGAGGGTTCCGATCCGGGCTGGCGTTCGGGTGCCGGTTTTACCTGTCCGACCGACCGGCTCGAGTCGGCTTTAACAACAGTGGTATAAACCAATTTGTAAAATAACAGAATGCGGAAGCGAAAAGAATCACATACACACGATTTACGTGGTTTCCCTACTCGATGTGAGTAGGAACAAGATTTACATGAGCCTATTTGACTTATAGGTGGACAAGGAAAGGAAGAGGGAGCTTTGGCAGTAGCTCTACCAAGACAAGGACACGGTTAATCACATGCAATACTCACCCTCAAGCGAAGACATGGATATCGAACATACCGAGTTTAGTAAGGAGATGTCGAAATTGATCAAGACCAAGGCATTTTGTGAGAAGAATCGCAGGTTGCTCGATAGTGGCGATCTTACATGGCGTTATGTGTGAGGCTTGAACTTGTTCACGGACGAAATAGCAATCCATCTCACAAAATCTGAAGTCAGTTTCCGTCCAAATTTGAAGTCAGACCAACGGACCCATTTGGCTGATATTCTGGGAATAAAGCAAGTGGTAGCTCACCAAAAGTATCTAGGCCTTCCTACGGTGGTTTGCAGACAAAAGAAAGAAGTTTTTGGGGGTACTAGTGGATAGAGTGAGGAAGAAGATCAAACATTGGAAGGGCAAGATGCTTTCAGTGGCAGCTAAAGAGGTTTTAATCAAGTCAGTGGCTCAGTCACAAACCACCTACACTATGTCAGTGTTACAGGTTCCTGATGGGGTACTTGATGAACTAAGGAAAGCTATCTCAAGTTTTTGGTGGGGCAGCAGAAGGAAGAGAGACGTATCCCTTGGAAGGCTTGGAAAAAACTCTGTAAGCCTAAAGAAGAGAGAGGCTTAGGATTCAGAGACCTCAAGACCTTTAATTTGGCTCTACTGGGGAAACAGATATGTAGCCTCTTTCAAAACCCAACATCGCTGGTAGCACGAGTCCTGAAGGCTAAATAATATCCGAATACAGATGTGCTCTAGCCAAGGGTGGGGTATAATCCTAGCTTCACGTAGAGAAGCCTAATGGCAGCTCATACAATGGTTTGGAGATGGAAGAATGGCTAATATCTGGCAGGTCAGGTGGCTGGCAAATGCAGAGGAAGATGGCTACAAGGTAACCACTCTACAGTGTGCAATTGGGGAGACATCCACAGTTGTTGAGCTAATTGATCATGACAGCAGATCATGGAAGTCTAATATCCTACAACAGCACTTTAATCAAGTGGACAGAGTCAACATTCAAGGGACCCCGATCCCTAGACAACCGACACAAGATGAGCGAGTATGGTGCTTCTAGAAGAATGGCAGGTATTCTGTAAAAACAGCTTATCGGTACTGGTTCAAGAAGAAAACAGAACATGAGATACATTGGGAGGAAGTGATGCTCGAGACTGAGGAACATGGGACAAAAGTGGAGGTGTATGAACCTATGAATTGGAAGCGTCTATGGAAACTCACTATCCCCCCAAAGGTAAAGGTTTTTCCTATAGAAACTGGCTCACAATATACTCCCCACAGGGAAGAACTTGGAGACCAGGAAGAGGGATGCAAGCCCCAACTGTCCTTTTTGCTATATGATGGAATCCCAAAATCATATCTTCAGGGAGTGTGAGTGGGCAATACGAATATGGAAACCTACTTCCTTCAGGAAGCTATTCGAACTAGATGGAACCCTATCTCCTGGGAGCTGGTTGTGCGAAATAATGGAAATGGTAGATGATGACACTCTAGGGCAGTTTGGGGTTCTGCTATGGTTCATTTGGTATGAGAGGAACAATCAGTGCTATAACAACCACAAGGAAGAGGAATGGGAAATCGCTGGAAAAGTGATCGCTCACTGGGAGGAATACCAAAACCAGAACAACCAGGGGACGATTCAGGCAGAGGAGCGAAGCCGTACCTGGCAAAAACCACGGTGGGGTGGCTGAAAATGAATGTTGATGTGGTAGTGGTGACTGGCAAGGGCACAGGATACGGAGCTGTCGTACGAGACGAGATGTGGAATTTCCTGTATGCAGCAGTCAGAAGAGAGCGAGCTCAGTGGTCACCGGATTTGGCTGAAATCCGGGCGATCCAATTCGGTTTCCGGTTGAAGGAAATGCATGACCTCCGGCAGATTGTGGTAGAGACGGATTGCCAGACTATCTTTCTATCGCTAAAGAACAAGGGGAGGACAAGGACAGATGCTGGGCTTTTGATTGAGGAGATCGAAATGGAAGCTAACAGGACCGGGTCGATCAAATGGAGCTTTGCAAGAAGGGAATGCAACCAAACAACCCACTTACTGGCCCACACACAATGCTCTTGGGATGCAGAGGAGTTTTGGGCTGGAAGGCCACCTGTCTTTCTATTATCTATTTTGGAACATGATACCATAATCAATTAATAAACATCTAGGTTTTGATTGTAAAAAAAAAAAAAGAGTTTTTGTTCAAGAAAGAAATCTTATTGTAACTCTTCATATCCAGTTCATCCTTCAGAACCATATCACATCCTGGATCTTATGAAATAGAATGGATATATTAACTATTTCTTTCTTTTCCGATCGCTTGGAAGAGACAAAAGAAACATCTTATCCTTTCTTCTACAATTTATGATCTCTAGTGGGCATCTTCGTAGGATTCAAACATAGATGAAGTTTAGACCACCTGTTAGAGAAAATATTGTATGATTCCCAAGAACTTCTTCGATTTTTTCTACTTCCGTGAATAGCCATGACATTGATGACTCTTCAGAAGGGCATTTAGGGAATTGGTCTGATACTATCTCTGTTCGTTCCGTTTGAAGAAAGGAAAGGTCACAAAGAATTGATCTTTCTTTTCGTTTTAGTTGTTTAATCTCTCTTTGATGGATCAATGTGTGATATCCCGAAACCTTATTACTAATAGAATCGAAATGATCTTTGGATTAATCAGAACATCCCTTCAATTGGCTATAACCGTTCCTTGAACGAAACTAGATCTTGTGGAATCATATTGAATATTTGACGATGTGTTCTCTCCTTCCTTAACACATGTTTAGAAAAATGCATAATGGAAAGCCAAATTATGCTATGAACCCATTTGGTTTTGAAATCTAGGAGACCAGAAACTGGAAAAGGCAAAGATGAGTACCACACAAGTATATATGTCCATGGAATAGTAACAAATTGATAATCTTCTAAATCTATTGATTATGTGTTCATCGTTTGACCCAATATTTTTCACGAAAATAAAGAATATAACAAACATACAAAGCTGTGCAACTATTTTGCTTTAAACATTAACTCTATGTTCAAGGGGACTGAAATTTCAGAGATTTACATAGCTAGAGTTTGAGGAAGTAAGTGCTAGCGACAACATTAACACATGGTACAATATCATTATGAACTCAACTACTAAAACAAACTAAGTACAACACCAAATGAATTAGCGATGAAAAAAGTAAACAAACTACGAGAAAAAAGAACTGTTGAAAGGGTAAAAATCTAAACAAATTAGAATCAGATTTTGAACAAATTAAGTCTTCCACTTAATCACAACACAGTTACCTTCCTTGAACATTCCCAAAATGGGAAATGATTGTGGAGGATTCAATCACTTGAGAATCATCAACCCCACCAACTTGAGCGCCACACTCTCCCTTCTCCACATCATCGCTACCCTTCCCACCACCACTCTCAAAAGCAATCAAATTCACTGTACTCCTCTCGTCAGCAGGATCAACACCAGCAGCATCCTGCAACTGCAGAGCATACTCCAAGTTCCACAGCACATCTCCCATTGCCGGCCTATCCACACCATACTCGGCCAAACACTTCTCGGCGGCCTCGACGAACTTGTTCAACGATTCTGAGTGTATGCTCTCCTTAATCTCCTTATCAATGATCCCCTCAAGCGTCCCCTTGTTGTAGCACCGCATAGCCCACTCGGCTAAGTTCACTTGCTCCCTAGGCAACGTCGGACATATCACCGGCCTCGCGCATAGAACCTCGAACAGAAGCACCCCAAACGAATACACATCCGATTTATCAGTCAGCTGCTGCCTCCTGAAGTACTCGGGATCAAGGTACCCAAAGCTCCCCTTCACAGCCGTGCTGACGGGCCCTCTATCCGTAGGAGCAGCCTTGGAGAGCCCGAAATCGGCCACTTTCGCCACCAGCTTCTCGTCCAGTAAAATGTTTGTGGTCTTCACGTCGCGATGGATTATGGCTTCCGATGCTCCCGTGTGCAAGTAATGCAGCCCTCTGGCGGATCCAATGCAGATCTCCAGCCGCTGCTTCCAAGACATAGTCCCCTGTTTCGCCTTTCCGTAGAGATGGTCGCGAAGTGGGCCGTTGGCCATGTACTCGTATACCAGAATCATCTCTGACTGCTCATCCGAGAATCCGATTAGGGAAACCAAATGGCGGTGTCGGAGCTTGGACAGCAGTTGTATCTCCGTCTGGAACTCGTTTATTCCTTGCTCCGAACCCGGAATCCCTCGTTTTATGGCCACTTTGGTGCCGTCCTCCAAAACTCCGAGGTACACTTTCCCGAACCCGCCTACACCGAGGATTGCAGCTTCGTCGAAGTTCTGAGTCGCGGTCTGTAACTCCGCGAAGCTGAAGTACCTGTAGCAGCGATGAAGTTCAAATTTAGAGTAACAATATTAGGAAATCCCAGAACTATAAGATTACAGTAATTTATTAGAATTAGAGATCTAAAACTTGGAGGACAGACAGAGTCTAATATAATAGTGTCATTCTCAATACTTGTTCAACACATAAATAAATCTACCTGCCGAGAGCGGGATTGGAGAAATGAGGCGAGGAGTAACTTTTTGATTTTCTGGAGCTGAAGAAGCTGGTGCTGGATTTCCTGGAACTGCTCTTGCTACTGGAAACCGAGAACTGGGTGCTCCCGTGGAGTGGAAGGAGCCACGATGAGAAGCTTTTCCGCTTCTCCCAACCTTTAGGCCTGTTGTGCCACCTCACCATGATCAAACCAAGCAAAAGCAAACCAGTGACGGCCATTCCCAATCCAATCCCAGTAATCACCTTCAAGGCTCCTCTGCCCATGAACCCACCAACGCCAACAATGCCATCCAGACTGCCGTCGGTGCGGCTCATCTTCATCACCTCGATCCCGTTGAGAATCGCATTCATTGTGCCCGACTGCATCTGGGTGTCCGGACCCACTTGAATCAAGAAGGAATCGTTGGAGATGGAAGGGCCGCTGACCACGAAATCCTTGTAGTACGCCGTGGAGAGGGCACGGTCGATGGAGGAGAGGTCCACGGGGGAGTCGCCCGCGGTGAATCCGTTGATGTAGACGTTGAAGTACAAGCTGTCGAGAGACTTGCTCACAATGTCACAGAAATGGAGCCTGATTAGGTAGGAGAATCCCGAATCAGCAGGTACCTTCCATGTCAAGTTGAAATTCTGGGTTTGGGTCTCTGAATCCGCCATTTGATCTGCAGTGGCGTAGACCAGGCTGGGCGCAATGTAAGGGGTCGCTGCTGCAGGTCCGGAGGACATGGGGAACTTGATGGTGTCCGGGGATACAGAGACGTTCTTGGCTCCTTGAGGGAAATCATTGTACGGAGTATCTACCGTCCATGTCCTCGTCAATGCGTCATCGGCCGGGGTTATGATCGGCCCTCCAACATTCAGCCTGTAAGAAACCTGAAACGCGAACTTGGACAAACCCTTGAAAGCAGCACCGGGGACCGGGGACGCTTCGTCGGGGATAAGCCCGTCGGGAACAGAGACGAGCTCCAGGGCGTTGAGGAATGCGCAGGAGGTTCTGGGATTGAAGAAGAGGGCGAATTGGTCGGCCGTGACGTCGAGGAGATACTCCTTGAAGACGGGCGGGGAGTTTTCCTCGACGGAGAAGTCGTGCAGGAGGAGGGAAGTGGCGGTGGCGACGCTGAAGACGGCAGTGGAAGGAGTGCAGTGAGGGTTAGGGAGAGGGTAGAAGTAGAGGCGAAGCCAATGCCTCCCCGGCCGAGTGATTGGGAGCGTGAATTTGGACACGGAAGTGAAGATCCTGGCGCTGCGAAACAGAGGGAGTGCGGAAGGCGAGATGGCGGAAGAAGCAGAGCCAAGAACAGAGGAAGGGATGGAATCAACAGACACTTTGACCTCTTCACTGGTCTGGAGGTAGGCCGCGGTGGCGGAATCGGATTGGAAAGTCCGGCCATCGTCGAGTTTGGTGTCGTGAGGCGATCCGCAATTGAGGAGGTAGCTGTCAGGGGGCGTGTATGAAATAGGGCCTGAAGTGGTCGCTGCCGCGGGCGCAGCGGAAGGAGAAGCGCTGCTGCTGTCATCGTCGGCAGAAACAGTGGAGGTTATTAGGATTGAAATTGTGACGAGAATGAAGAGAGATGAAAGGAGAGAGGAGCAGACTCGTCGCCGTTTGGGATTCTCTCCTCCTCCCATTGCTGCCCTTTTTGCGGGAGAAAAATGTTTAGCAGGAAGGAAGCAATGGCGATGGTGATGACAATGAAGGTGATAAAGGCATGGCCGTCGATCGGCGATTGAAGATAGCTTTAGGAAATGTGCAAGCACGTAAGTGGGCGGCCAAGACGTGCAGGGGATGAAGAAGGTGGTGTGGAATGGAAGAGAGAGAGAGAGTGTGACGTTTTGGGTGTGTTTGGTTTGGTCGTCTCGTCAACAACCCCAAAAGGGCAAAGAAGAAGAAGAAGAAGCAGCAGCAGCAGAAAGGAGTTTGGTTTAAAGTTTAGGGATGGATGAGAATGGGAATGGGAATGGGAATGGGAATGGGATGAGAGAGGACGACAGGAAAACAGATCTCCACAGTTGAAACTAAAATGCTGTAATAAGAGCATAAACCATAAAACTAAATGCTCTTTTTAACTGATGCTACCGAGCTATGCGTTGGACCTTACAAAAAATACTGCCCTTCCCTCCATAAACCCTCTCCTCTTGCTTGCTTCCTTGTTCTGTCGCCACGCCTCTGCTCAAAACTATGGGTATCCCATTCTCTCCAACCCAGCTAACAACTAGAATTTCCATGCTATCCTATCACCACAATTCATAGTACGAATATATTGAATTGAATAGTCCTTTGGATGGGAAATTGTGATGAGGGATTCTGGTAAAAATGATGCCTTCTGTGGTGCCGCCATCTCCTTTGCATTCCTCACATACTTTCATCTTCAATTGATCGATCACCATTATCAACTCAAGGCCCAATACTAGCAAAACAATAGATTAATCTATTGTTTTCTTCGGACCCATTTTCTTCATCTCACTCGGTGTATTCAATCGCCAAGCAGCCGCTGGAAATAATTTGAACTCTGACAAATTCTCCGGCTGGCAACTGCTACTCGATGTCGGTGAACGAGGGGATGGCCTAGCGGCAACAATGACGGTTATGGCGATGGTGATTTGGACTGACGGCAGGAGTCGAGATCCAGATTTTTTTTTTCGTTTAAAGAAGAGCGAGGTGAGTTGCAGCGCCGAAGGCGGTGGTGATGATGGCCGGCCGACAACTACGATGATGAAGATGGATTTTTAACGGGACGAGTTAGATTGCTAACTCCATAAAAGTTATCATCATCGTTCATTATATTTTATTAAATTTGATGGTGGAAAGTATGAATTTAAAAATAGCAACTATAAACTAATTTACACAATAATTAAAAGTCAAATGAGAAAACTTAAAGCCTCATTTCAAATTTCCAGTCTTCACAATTACCTTTTTTATTCATTAAAAAGACATTTACTAGGATTCAAACCATGACCACTATAATGAAAAGCAAAGATCATAACCAATCACACTAAGTACATTTGTTGTATCTTTTTAAATTAAAAACATATAATCACAAAGAGGAAAAAATCATTCCCCCATTTCAAATTCTCTACTCCAGGATCGTTTGTGGGAAGGGTAGAATAGAGAGTGTCAATTTTTTTCTTTTTCCTCTATGGAACGGGCCAACTTACCGTACACATGCGGATTTATACGGGTCCAGAAGTGTCAATTTTTTTCTTTAAGTCCTTTTATATCTCCGTTGTGGTAAAATATATATGAAAAGGCAAAAACAATACTCCTTTTTATAGCTAAAAAGAAAAAAATTTAACAATAAACTAATGCATGGATTCTAATGGGCTAACCGCTAATCATAAAATAAAAGAGTTGAATGGGCCTGACCTACACGGGATTTGCCCATCAAGTAAAACAAATGAACATCATGGGTTTGCCATTCTAAAACAAGCTATTTTCTCTAGCATAATATATATTATGCTATTATTTTATATGTTAGTGGCTAAAATATAATGTATTTTAAAGTTATTCAATGGTTCAACCTCGACCAACCCAATTAGTCCAATTTTTATCCTTTCAAATATATATTATGTAATTATTTGATATCATAATTATTAAATTATAGTGTATATTATAGGGAATCGTTTGGTATTTGTTAGTAAAAAACTAAACAGAAAGATCTATTTGGTTATTTTTAACATTAAAACGATCCTAAACATTTTTAGTTTCCTTTGAAATTCTATAGTTTTATTCACGAATCAGTGATGTGCAAATGGCGAATTGTAGTCATCTCTTTTCTTTCATTATTTTTTATTTTCAAATAGAAAGTTTAAAATTAAAGAATAATTAGAGTTTGGCATGGGTCGGTCAAACAGGCTGAATTTCAAGTTTTGGCCTGTTTTGATCAAGTCTAATTTATAATCACATGGTTCCCTGATACCCGATAAAAATCTCAATCAAAACTAGTTTGGCAGGTGAGTCTGCGTTTGCCACCATTTTCTAGGGATACAGGAACGGTGGTTCCTATCCCAAATCATGTTGTGCATTCTTGATTTCTTTAGATTTTATCATGGCTTGGCAAAAAACCAGAAAGCACAATGATGACAAGATGAAAGTTTTATAAAACAAATTAATCGGCCAACGGGCCGAGTAAAAGCTAGCAACGATTGTGAGATGCTCATTTCTCGAAAACCGACGGATAGGCAATTTTTAATTCGATTTTCTAGAATTCGGTTTCTATAAAACTTACCCCACCTCATCATATTAACAGAAACAATATTGTTTCACAAGGTAACAGGTACTTGATTTTGGTTTATATGGCTGATTTTGGATTCGTTGCATCATTCATGTCTTTTTCCTACTAAAATTCACTATATTTTATCACGTGTTTTCCAAAAATAACTATACAACAATAAACTATACACCCCATTACATTATCAAATTTCATACCTCATCTTCCTCCGACCAAATGGCCGGCGCCACGCTAGTATTTACAAAAACCAATCATAACTACAAAATTACAACTAATCAACAATTACAGTACTATATTAAATAATCACTACTACAAATCTCTGCCTCTTTGATAATTGATCCAGAGCATATTTGATAACGAACCAACACAATTACAATGATAATTAAGCATCACTTTATGGAAACACTACGCCAAGAGAAAGCCAACTTGTAGAAATTAATAACTGCCCAAATATGTTTTCCTTTGTTCTTCGAGTAGGCGTCGCTCGCCGGAAGAAAAAGCATAATAATGGAACGATTGAAAAAGCAGGAGGGAGAATGGATCGATCGGACGCGGAACTGGTGGCGGAGCACCAGATCTGGGCGATGATGGATCTGAACGGGAAGGATGAGGCAGTATGAGGGAACGTTGCTGATTTCCGCTGGATCGATGGCGTCGGATGCGGAACTGGTGATGGAGCACCAGATCAGGGCAGTTGTGGACATGAAAAGAACTGCAAAGAGCCGTCATCGCCAACGTCCGTTCGACCACCAACGAGAACACCCTCTCTGCTGGCTTTAGAGCCTCCCTCCGGTGCACGCCGCTTTCTCTGTTTTTCTAGGTTTTGGTGAACAAACAGTGACTGAGAGATTGGGAGAGGAAACCGTAAAAGTGAAAAAGTGGTAGGAAGAGAAGTATTTATATTAGGGTTTGTAGGACTATTGACTAACTTATCCTTTAATTATTTCTGACCGTAGGATTACCATTTTAATCTAATGATTATTAGTGTAGTTAGTATGGTGCTAACCCTAATGAGGTTAGCACCTAATCTCATTCCATATTTAACTGATTATGTTGAACGATGGTAGAAACATGGGGTTTCGGTAAAGGAAAAAACTTAGCAGCATCCTGGGATGCAGCCACTAGCGGCTACCCCTCCACATGTCTCCCACCTATTGGTTGCCAATTTCCTTTTATGTTTAATTATTAAATATGCTCATCGATTAGTTTAAAATTTGGAGAGGGGTAACAGAGCCGTCAAACACCCACCACTACCCTACAATTGACTTCCCCTCCTCATCGAATAAAAAACTTGGCTCTCTCTGCCTTTTCCTGCCCTCACAAAAACACACCAATTCACTATGGGGTCGTTTGGATGGATCAATTGTAAAACGAGACAATTTGACCAATTGTTTCATTTTACAAAACGAGTCATTTAAAACGAGTCAATTCAGATTACCTGCCCCCACCCCAGACAATTGTAATTGGCTCAAAATGAGTCAATTCAGAATTCCCCAGCCCAAATTGTTTCATCCAAATTTAAAAGATGCCAAACGGATCAATCTAGCACAATTGACTCAAAACGAGACAATCATGTCAGATTGATCCATTAGAATTCCTCATCCAAACGACCCCTATCTTTTTTTCCTCTCCTCCTCTTGCAAACCCAAAGCAGCAGTCTGCAAAAGGCCAGAATAGTGGCCTCGGTCACTGTACGCTTACAGAAGGAAGTATGATGCTCGAATCTAACTTTAAAATTCCAAAACATCAAGTATGATATAGGAAAATAAATTGTTCTCGATGAATGGTACCCATACAAATATTCTGATACATCATATATTCCCCACTAAACACTGAATCTATGTCTAAACAATTAATGTATGGAAAAATAAAAAATAGAACCAACTTAATGACACTTTATTCCACTTGAGATACTTCTGGAGAACATCGTTTGTCACTGTTGCAGACCATCAAAAGGAGAGTTCGCTATTGCATCCTGTAAAATTAAATTAAATAATAATAATATAACATTGGTATTATTTTAATGAAATCAACCAAAATAGATAAGAGAAACGACTTCGAACCTGTAACAATCGTGTGTATGATATATTGTTGAAATAAATTGTAGAATCCAAGTTCTCTGCTGTTGGCCTAATAATTGAACTTTGAGGCTGATGTTCCACCTAGTCCATTCAGTTGATCATGTTTAGAGTTCATTATAGAAAAAAGACAACACTTTTCTTCGAAATATAAAATAGACCAAGAAAAACCGGATAATTTTGGATTTGCAATTCTATTTTGCTTCCAGCCGCTTGTTCAGAGCAATTAGTTTTCTGCTTCTTACCGTGTGCATATAATAGTATATAAAGACTAGTTAGTTAATGAACTATGATAGTATAATAAATATTTTTTTATAAAAGAAAACAAAGATGAACACGAACCTGTGGTTTTGATTGGACTTTATGACTTTTTCGACGTTCTAATGCACCTTTGTCTTAACTTCGGTTACAACTTGCTGGTCTTTTTCATGATTAGAGCACAAATCCTTAAGAGAAGTTCCAGCATTTGAATTTTTTCTCCTTCCCTGCAAATCTTTCAGCAAATTTGAAAAAACCTCACTTGTATGCTCATACATTGTGTCATTCTCAGCTGCCAGTGTGCATATCTCTCAAAAATTATAATGTAGATTGCAGTAATGCTTCCCAATAAGTTTCTCTGAACTTCCCTATACTCGAGTTGAACTTCTTATATCTCCATCTTTTGCCTCCTTTGTCCATCTCTTTAATATATATCGTCTTGTATTTTTCTTATCTAGAACCTTCAAAGCATGAGAAACATAGAATTCCCACAAACTCAAACTTCTTGCAACTGCAATCAACTGCTTGAGACGAAGTCTCAAACTGGACACGGTGCTCTGTGCCTCTACCTGCATATCTCACTTTATATTCTTCCCGGACTTCGTTTTTGCTGATCTTATCAATAGTACAATCCAAAACTTTGACAAACTCTTCTCGAAACATCAAAAACACTTTAGGAGTATACACCTCTGATGCGTGTCTTAACATCTCAACATCTGCTTGTAACACTGGGCTGGTGTCCCTCATTTTTGAAGTCTGCAAGTAGTTCCAGATACCTTCTATCTTCTACCAACTGAGCATAATGATAAAAAAGTATGACATATTGTGCTTAGGCTTCAAATACTTTTTCAACACATTATTCATCGATTCACTACCTGAGTACTCTTCATATCAGCTGTAAACATATGACGTCCATATACCATCACCCACTTTTCTCTTATTGAGAATATCCCATGCAATCACTACTTCTCAAATTATACTTGGTAAGCATATCATCCCAACCTTTATACGTACCACTCCTCTTCATCTTCATAGTCATATACACACGCACTAAAATCCTTAGCAAACTGGTCGGACGCATTGAACACATGACTCAAGTGTTTAGCAGCATTTTGATAAATATGTAAGATGCATAAACGATGATGGGTTTCAGTAAATACCTTTTCAATATCTTTGGCCATAGCAGCTGATTGATCTGTTAACATGAACCTATTGTGTTGATTGAGTGTTTTATATGATATTTGAGGTATTATTCATGAATGATTGAGTGTGCTAGCTTTAACTCAATATTGGGTAAAATTGACCTAGAGGGTGGAAATCCCATTTTGGTGCAATAGGAATCTAGACTTCTTAGTCACTTGGGTAACCTCCTTTAGGTCGATTTAAGACAAAAATCTCAAGTATCGGAGTAGGGCCGTGATTCCACCGGGATTGGTCTCTCCGTCGACCGAATTAAGTTCCTAGGGTTTGGTTTGCAATTCTTAGTCGGCTAGTTGAGAGGGTTAGGTTTCCTAGCCTATCGTTGTCACCCTTAGCTGAAAGGTTAAGTGAGTTAGCTTTCTAACTTGTTGCAACGATTCTCAATTAGCTAACTAAGAGAGTTAGGGATCTCCTTGGTTGATTAGTGAAGAGGGCTAGGTTCCCTAGCTATGAATCACAATCCTTAACCTAACGGTTAAGAGAGCTAGTTCTCCTAGCTTATATTTGTTGATTTTCCTTCATTGATCGACTAAGGGAGTTTGTCCCTAGCTAGTTGCACCCACCTCGTGGTGTATGAACACGTTCTTCACACTAGAGCTTTGTTTTTCGCTTCTTAGCATGAGACGAGGGGGAGCAATACCCAGGGGAAGTTCTCTCGAGTAGAATTCTCCTCCATATACTTTCCTTGCTTGTTTAGTTTGTATTTTTCTTAGTATTCAACCCAAAGTTGTTTTGCTAGATAAAAACTTAAGAGATTAAAGAAGGGGTACATGGACCGGCCCGGGTTTGAGAATTAAATACTTGCCCTATACTGCACCCGGCTAGAGTTTAAAAACTTGGGCTCTAGTCGGGATATAATTCGCGGTGTAGTTTTGAGTGAGTCAGCAGTCAACTTTGATAATTGACCGTAAAATGAGTGACGTGGCAAATAAAAAAATGAAATAAATAAAATAAACCATTTACAAATTTCCACCCCATTTAACAATAAATTAAAATAAAAAACCACAATTGCGTCTAACCTTTCCTCCCAGCAAAGCAAAACCCCTATCCCCGCCGTCTCCACCAGCTAGTGACGGCTCCGGCGTGTCCTCTGAGGTAAGGGGACAGGTTACCGTGATTACTACTTAAATTGAGTATGGAAAAATAAATTATATTAATTAATTTTTTAATAAATTTCATTTTAGGTAGTTACGAAAATCTATTAATCACAATTTTCTCTCTTTCTCTCACTTCCGTAATCTCCCGTCAGATCCCCTTTCCTTATTTTTCTCAATCTTTCTGCAAAATAAAATAAAAAAACACGAAATCACTACCAATCGATTAGACAACAACTACCACTTTGAAAAACATCAATACCATTGCAGAAATAAATCTATACCATTACACGAAAACTATCAATATAAATCTATACAATTTCACAAAAAACCAATACCATTGCAGATTTAATCAATACCTATAGAGAGGGGGAAGAAGAGGAAGATGGGGACGGCGGGGGTGGGTGGGGGGAAGAGAAGAAGCCGGGGACAGCGGTGGGGGGTTGTGGGATGGGGCGGAGGAAAGGAAGAAGCAAGGGAGGGATGGGTGGAGTGGAGTGGAGAAGGGAGAGTGGGATGAGCGGGGGACATGGGAGGGCCGACGATGGGGCTGAGGGGAGGAGGGTCAGAGAGAGAGAACGGGGGAGGGATGGCCGGCACGTCGCAGACCGAGGGAGGGGAATGAATGGTCGGTTGTAGCGGGTTTAACTGGAGGGTGAAGTAGGGTTAGGGTAGAATATATAGAATAATCAGGTGTAGTCTTTTTTTTCCCCCAAAATTATCCTAAAGCAATCTTAACCGTGAGATAAAAAAAGTGAAAATAAAAGAAAATAAATGGTGGATATTAATGTAGCCACGGTGGCTACTTAAAATCCAGTTACCACACTGACGCATTCTCCCTCCTCTCTGATCACTCTTCGTCTCTCACTTTTACCAAGCTATTCAATCTCGTCGACTCTTTTGCCTTTTTGATTTCTCTGCTCCCTCTCATGTTGCCTTGTCAAAACAGTTGCTTCCCCTTCTGTCCATCGAATCAGTCTCTCATATGTTGTTCAATTAAGCTCTCGTAGAGTCGTAGTGGCTCAAAATCTGATTGAATATTCTATTATTCAATGCAAATGAGCAGGTGGGACAATAACCCGCCGCGCTCTGCCATTCAGAGCTTGGATTTGGCGTGGATGGCGATCGATTGGATGTTAATATGGTTCCGATTCGGCAGCATCGCCGATACCGAATCAGGGGAATTCTCATTCGGAATCAATAATACTAAACTCCCTTCAACCAAACCCCTGATTGCGAACTCCAACACCGGTGGTGAAAACTCTTTGTTCCCTTCACGAATCACATCCGCGAGCATTGCCACGAAACCAGCCATTTTCGGCAGGAAACTCCGGTTCTGACCGGACTCGTCCTCAACCTATTATCACAGAGCGTCCAAGGAACAATGTCAACTAGATCCCTTCTTCTCGGCTTTGATTGCCTTGACGATTAGCAAAATTTTGTTTGGTAATAGTCCTCGACTAATAAGGAGTTGTGATGGATCTGAATGAGACGATGGAGGTTGAAGACAATGGTGGGTTACAACTAGAGAGGTAGGGGGAAGTGCTACGAATGACGGTGAGGGGTGGGTAGAGATGATTCATTATATAATTAGTTTTAACTTTGTAATAATTTTGATAATAAGGTGAAGATTTGTAAAAAAATTATTTTTATTTTTAATTATTTTTTATTTGTCAATTCACTTATTTAACGATTAATTATCAGAATTGACTGCCACATCAGCAAAATTTAACTTTGACCAACAGGAAGCGATTAAATTTGAATTGTTGAACTAATTTAAGTAACTACGAATGAAATAAATTAATTTGTTTAATGACTTGAATAAATTAATTTTAATGACAAATGTAATATTTTTTAGTATATAGTAATTCTAGTGACCAAACCTATTGTAGCCAGGTTGTTTTATAGCGGACTGATTGTTACAATGAAGAATACACGGGATCCAACGTCATGTACGGATCTAAAGAATAGAATAGCTGGTGTTAGAAATGGCTGTCATTTTCCATCTTCTTTTCCTTTTCTCCTCTTTCTGTGTGTATAGCCATTTCCGATATACAAGTTTCAGCAAACAAATTATACACAATCACTGCATCCTGCAACCTTGTTCTGCAGCTTTCAGAAACACGAGTCCCCTGCTTATCCTCTGCAAATCATTAGAAAGAAACAAGTAGTCAGGTTGACATACATGTCGGTCCAAAAGCTTGGTCAGCATATCAAGTCCTGAATATTTACATACCTCTGCTGTATCCCTCAAGCGAAGAAGCTCCAGCCTTTCATGAGGTCTTCTGTCTGAAAGTGTAGCAAGCTGCCACAAAGCAAAACAAACTCTGAGGCTACAGCACTTTTCTTGAATATTTCTAATCAGAATTCACTTGAGTAACACTGTGACTCAGTAAGAGTACCCAAAAGCTGAACCGCTCAGGATCCAATGGCACAGGCATCATTGCTTCAACGTTCAGAAGTTTCTCAAGTCTCCTTCGATCTGTGTCCAACAATAGTTCGTCACTTATTAACACACCTCATCAAAAAGATGAAGAAACAACTTAAGTAACATAATGTCAATCTCAATTGTACATTTCTCAATTGTAACAAATGAACCAATACCAAAACATTTCTCACAACAATTCTATAGAAGGCATTTTTCTAACATCTATACCTTGTCTTGCAGCTTCTCTGGCTTTCTGCAACCATGATCTTGTGTATTCTGCCGCGCTATTTGTCAATTCCTGCAACTATACATAACCTGAAATTAACCCTGCACTCTCATTCAACCTGTGTAGCATACATGCAGAACCCGCAAGCCCAAGACATTCCCATAACTTCAGGTAAGTTCACCTACTAAAGATTCAGGCAAACACATCAAAAGAAGAATCTTGCTGAGATCCTTGATCTTTCTCATATTTCACTAAAGTGTCAATGAGCGAAATGGCTAGGTTATATTTCACCCACCAGCAGCTACAAGATTTTAAGCCCGAAACACAGCTCAAATCCACTACCCACTGGGTTGCCTTTACTTTCTCCTAACTGTTTCGACGCATATATTATATGATTCAGCTAGAATAAGAAGACAAATAAACAAAAGACTTCAAACCAGCATACTTGTACTTTCTCCTCTGATTGTGCTGGTTGATGATCTTGCACCCACTCAACCTCTGCTACGCGGTATCTACAAGAAAAGTGGACATTATGTAATCACAGTAGACAGAAGGTGCTAATGAGGTAGCCAGGCTAGACGGAACAATTTATTAAAGATTATCGGACTAACCCATCTTGATCCCAAGACTCAAGTATGCAAAATCTGCGGCGACTTTCAATCTGCAGTATTTCAGCTGTTAGAGAATTTATGAGGAAAAAATTAAGAGGGTACAAACTTCAGAAAAATATTCCAGTTATAGTGCACCTACACTCTTCTCACACGGTTTCTTCTGACCTACTTCGACAAATTACCTACTTAAGAACCTCTGACCAACTAAAAAAATGGAGCTACCAATTTCACATCCAGAATTATAAGAAAATTACAGTCAAAGCATTAGTAATGGCTCCCCCATCCTCAACAATTTAGAAAAAAGACAACTACGTTGATATGTTCGGTTTTTAGTCTAACCTTTCGAATAAACAGGAAATGCTAAGCTTATACATCCAAGACAAGAGTGAAAAAGTAAGCCTGACTTGAATAACAACAATTTGGGTAGTCCTAAAACCCATTAGTGAGGCCTGAGACTATACACTACGTTAACTTACATGACAATGGGATCATGAATTAAACAGTCTGACCCACTTCCAAAGATAAGATACTCAACAACTCAAAACAGCATCTTGTACTTGTAGCCATTATCTCATGCAAGGTACAAAATTGAAATAGTTGTTTCAGATATAGAATTTAGGTTTTACCTCTAAATAGAATCGCCCGTCTGGAAGTGGCTCACACCTATAGAGAATAGCTAGTCGATGAATAAAGGCATCGAGGATAATATTTCCATGTTTTGAGTGCAGAAGTTATAGATAGAAGATAAACCATACACCTACTCAGTAATCTCCACTTCACAAGCATAATCAGCCAATGCACCTGTATTAGGATCAACAATGACCTGTAAAGTTCAAAGTTCACAGCGAAAGTACCAAGCGAGCAAAGGTGAGGAATCTACTCGAGCAAGGTAGCATCACAGAACATGAGAAAGAGGAAGAGAGAGCTAATAAGAACCTACCATTCCCATCCGACGATTTCCTTCCATGATCCTTCTCACCTATCAGCATTAAAAAAAAAAAGCAATGTTGAATTGCCGAGGAGGAATACAGAAACCAGAATGAAGTTGGTCATACACATGTGGGAATTGCCAATGAAATTACGAAACTCATTATTGCCAAAGCAACCCTTGAGTTTCAAACAAACACTATCTTATCCATCATAAGTTTTTTTTATCCTATAAAATTTTGAGTTGCAGCATCTATTCTAAGAGACCAGACAATTGAAATGTTCAGGTTATTGCTTGCAGAGGCCTTCCATGAATTTGCAATTAATCATGCAAGATACTTCGCAATTTTTAAGGACCGGTCTACCGTTCTTCTCGACGATTTGAGGAAAGAATTAGTACTACTAAGTAATAAGACATAAATCTCACAACCATCTTTAAAGATTTGATATCCTGCAACAGCAGATTAGATTTGTCCTTCAATATGCAACATATGTGCTCAGCTTCCAGCTCTAACAAACTTCCCTGCTTATGAAACCTACTTAGTAAGATAAGAAATTGGAATAACTAACTCACCATTAACCTGTATCGAGGCTCAAATATATGAAGAGGGAACTTTTGGCATGGTATTACAACGTCCATCACAAAAAGAGGAACTAAATCAACACCAGGGCTTGTCAAACTCTCATGCTCGGACTTTCTTTCAGCATATTCCACAGGGAAGGTCTTCTGTATAATGTTATTCAATGTCACACTGTGGAGAAGCCAAGAAGAACTGTTACACAAAGTGGTATCATAGGATAAATAGTTTATCATGTTTCAAGCTACCTCTTCCCATTCAGAGAAACAAAATAAAATAGCACCGTACAGTTCTCAAAGTCAGAAATCATGCATCCAGACTGATAAAAGATTAAGCAGAGCAGAAAGTACGATTATTCATAAATAGAAGAAAGACCGTCTTAATATAAAAAGGCAGTGCATTACAACGAACTATTTCTATCCAACCCAAATCTGTATAGAAGTAGATGAATGGTAGAGATGGTTTCAGCTTGAAGGCAACAACAACAGAAGTGCCCCATTCTTTAATTTAATTTGCTTATCATAAAATTAAGATAATAAATTAATAAAAGTGGAATGGTAAATTTTAAAAGTCATTCTAAAGTTCCTACTGATATTAAATGGACAGGCAAGTGATCACATTTTCGAGGATTGAAGGCAGCAAAGAGAAAAAATTACCCAAACGAGAATGCTCACATGATCCCCAATTAGTATGGTTATCACCAGACAAATTACCCACCTGATTGCACATGTTCGAGGACTGATAAACAGAACTGTTCGGCATAATGGACATTTGTTACCTAATACATAAAACAAAAGTGAGACAGAGAAAATCTTATGCACCAGCTGTGCCAAAAGAATAACAACAGATGACTCACCACGATCCATGGATTGGAAAAGACAAGAGCGGCAAAAAGAATGACCACAAGGAGTTGTTACAGGTTCATATAGTAACTTCAAGCAGAGAGTGCAATCAAAATCATCACTACGTTCAAGTTTTGCAGAGTTTCTCCTTGTTATAGTGGCAACCATTATCTCCAACTTCTGACGATAAGCTTGAAGGGGGTTGCTAGACATCAAAAGAAGATAGAGGATTTGGTAGAGGAATTAAAGCTGCAATTCTTCATTTATCAGATAGAGTGAATAGCTAATTTTGCTGTCTTGCTGAATTCAGACTTCGAAATGAAGAATCAGATAAGTATATGAATAATTCATTACCTCGAGGAATCAACCTCAAGACCAGAACAAACAACTTCCTGGGCCAACTCATACTTTTCCAACTGCAATTTTAACATGTCGAAGATTACTTCATAAAACAACTCACAGACTTGAACAAGAATATTCAGGTACTGTAGAAGTATCATTGGTATAGAAAAAAAGAGCGACAATACACTTTACCAATATAAGAGCACTGGCTTTTAAGACGAATGACTTCACTGAGTTCTTCCAAATGTTGGACACCTTTTCAGCATCCTTAAGAGCAAGCTGAAAAAGTAGACAGACAATTTTCAGCTTTACATAGCAACCACAGATTAACGAAGCATTCTCAGATAATTCAAAGTGGAACACTCCGTATGGAAAGATAAAGATCACATACTTCAGCATGTATAGTAGGATCCAACCCATTCAATGGTCTGTACTCTGAGGCAGATGCTGGTCTCTGTTTGAGGTACTCACTAATCCTGGTTGGAAGTAAAATTTCAGTTGCAACATGCATGAAAGAAATTTTGTTGTAAGGAAGTCAAATGTTGAACTACCCCCAGATCGTTATGCAGCTGGTAAATTTTGGAAAAGAAACAGAAAAGAATCAGACAATGAGTCAATGAAAGGAGAAATACTGAACTGACCTGCAATAAGCAGCACTTCGGTTACCAAGAATGACAGGATCATTGGGTTTTATATTGTTGGCTCTTGAGTAGCAGTTGATTGACTAAGCAAGGAAATTCACAGTCAGAAAGGAAATTATGAGGAAAAGATACTCTATAATAAATAAAAGCTACAACATTAACTTCCATGTATTAACTCAACTATCATTTTTTCAAATAAAATCCTGGCGCTGACACACAAAACAAAAGTTCCAACAGAAGAGTGCAGAGGTCATGATAAGGCTATACATGCCCTGTCTAGTGTAAGTACTTTCCCTTTCAGTTTTTCAAGTATACCCTCAATAGACATAAGTCAGCCAACAAGTAAGACATAGCATAGGAAATGCAGAGCAATCTACTCAGAAAGTGGAACAAGTACCTCCTCAAAATGGTTATCTCGAAAAGCCTGATTGCCATTGTTCACCAGAACAAGCACATGATTTAATCTATCCCCAGTAAGTGACCCATCTCCTTCAGGTGCCTGCATTCCACTTGAAAGAGTTGGAGCGACCACAATTTCTTAACAAATGCAATATACCCTATAAAGACCATGCTTCCAATACATTTTATTGAATATTAATAAAATTAAACCTATATAAGTCATACAAAGCGAGGTAATGACTTCTAAAACCTAAGATAATGACCCAAAAACATCTTCAATTGTCATGCATCTGTAACGATGTGATCATGGAACCAACTATCCCTGTTTTGACAATCTTTTTTCAAGAGAGTCAAACAGCAAACTCCGCACAATGAGGCCACAAAGAAGTATCGAGCTTTGGGATTCTCACTTCTCCGCAACTTGGCATTTGGAAAGCGACGAAAGAAAAAAAGTTTGTCATATATCTCGTTTCTTCTGAGCTAACAAACAATTCGAAGGAAACAAACGAACAGAACTGACAAACGAGAGCCAAACTAGGGCGCTTAACATCAGAGAAATTGCAGGGAAGGTTGAGAGGAAGAACGACAAGAGGTTTGATATCTACAAGAAGCAATAGACTTTCCCCCCTTCCTACCCGAATAGAGAAAATCGAAATTGGCTGGATGTCAACCAGACAGTTGACAATTTACTTTCCACTTTCCAATATTGTTGTAAACTCAGCCCATAAGACTACGACATTTGATTTTCCCTACTACCCCAACAATTTCTCAGTAACCAATCAATTCTAATGGAAAAACCAGAACAATTCCAAGGAATGGAGGCAGTAAAAAAAAAAAATTAAACAATTTCTCAGACAAGGTTATGGTCATTCATTCAGAAGCAAGCTAGCTTACTTTTCCTCTTCATCCAAACAATTAACTTGAATTTAACTAAAAAAAATTCTCAAGAAGAGAACTAAAGAGAGAAAGAAAGAGCGGCAGGAGCCGCGACAACTCACGCAAATGTAGTCCTGCACGTCGTCGAGACCTTCCAATGGGACATCAGAGACCGACGAAGCTGTCTGCAATTCTCCAGTCATAGCACTCAATCAGACGGAGGATCTTACGGAGGCAAGCTAGGAAGCGTAAGGGAGTTCCGATTACTGGGAGAGCAATTTAGTTCCGCAGGCAAATTAGAGCGGAGAGTTGAAATTCCAAAGAGCTAAGAGAGAGAGAGAGGGAGAGAGAACAGAATGGGAGCAGCAGGAGTATAAGGGAAGAAGTAATAACGAGGAGAAGAAGGAGAGCGAGCAGGGCATCGGTGTTTCTCTGTGTATCCTTCGTTCCACACACGGACCAGATTCCTCTACGTGTTTTCCTCTCGGGGTCAGAGAGAGAGAGAGAGAGAGAGAGAGAGAGAGAGATGAGAGAATGCCAATTGGAGAAGGAAAGGCAACTTTGGGCCTTTGGGCGTGGAGGAGATGCGAAAACGAAATGGGTTTATATTTTTCTTCCTTTTTTGCCGATTTTCTTCTCTCACTACTCACCAGTCGCTCCAAAAACGTTGTTGAAGTGATTTACTTGGTAAGTGCTAATGTGTTATGAAAAATAGGCACGGTATCGGTATTCCAATACTAAATACCGAAATTTCGAATATTGAATTATACCCGAAAGTCAATCACAATCTCAATCCCTAAATATTCCGGTATTTCAATCGGTACTTCGCTATCCCAATCGGTATTATCAAATATGCAATTAATTACATTTGAAATATATAATTAAATATATAAATTAGATTTGATTGTTTAATTTAGGGCAGAGAGATTAAGCAAAGAGTTTTGAGTTTTCCTAGAGCTAGGATATGGATAAGGAGAATGAAGGAGAGGTGACATCTCAAGTTTTTGTCATTGGTAATATTTAATTTGATGAATTGAAGACCGAGAGTCGACTAATACTAGTGTTTGTTTTTTGGTGTTATGAAAATAATAAGTTATTAGGTGAGAGATGAGAGTGACTTAAATTGGAAAGTCAAAATTGAGTTGGATGGAGACTTTTGAGTTGTGAAACAAAGATGAAATGATCTATGTATAATTAAATGACACTCTTGGTGGTTGAGGGTTGTGTAGTCGTGAATGAGAGAGTCTAGTTGAGAGAATAAAATACACTCTAGCTTATATTTCGGTATTGATCGGTATTTATGTATATACCGATCTCAATCTCGTAATCCCTAATACCAAATTACAATTGAAATTCAATCTCAATCCCAAGAAATAATACATGTATTCGGTAATACCAAATATAGACAAATTCGGTACGGTATTCGGTATATCCCAAATACCGGTACCAAACTTTCATCCCTACATGTCAATTTAAAAAAGAAAATATATAGATTAGAAAATTATTAATATGAAATGAATTTAACAATATTTATAATATATTGCAGACAGTCATTCTAAAGTCTACTTAAATTTAATATTTCAAGATGGCATTGCTAGTATATTTACCAATGTCGTATTCCAAAGGTCGTCGATATCCTTGGCTACTTTTAACTATGTTATTATTTAGTCAATCAAGGTTTAGGTCGGTTGGAGAGGAAATATTGACAACTGGTAATGAAAGTATAAACGAGAAAGCAGGTACTCAGCTCGCCCTAGTTACTAGATATGTCACGCAAAAGGATAGAATTGTCGGTTTATGGGGAATGAAGTGCGGGAATCACTAATATGGGAGCTAGCTCAATGGTCATGCAACTAACCACCATCCTAATATGATCCACTGACCCAATCGCACCTCAATCAGATTCACGGATTAGGAATACACTTTATTACCTTTCAATGGGTTGCACCGACTCTAGGTCGTTATGTCGATGGTCACACATGTACCACACTAGCATCACCAAGGTGGGCGTTCTAGTTAGCAGGGGATGGTCACCTCATCCACCAACTGGGTCCCTAAATCAATCATCTACACAAATCATGCCAAGACCACTCAATCCATAACACCTTCAATCAACCTTAACTAGGAAATCAAAGATAGCACATGGAGAGACGAGTCTGAAGCACAATAATCATAGTTAGATGCATAAAAACACTAGACAAGCACATTTCATTCATAAACTTAAGAAAAATTCATCTTACATGACAAAACTTAAAACTAGGGTCTTGGGGATAAAGCGCCTAGTACCGTGAGTGACTTCCCATAAGGGGGAGGGGGGAATAGGGTAGAAGAATAGAGATGGGAGACTTCTTGGAGAGAATTCATTCCTTCTTCTTCTTCTTCTCCTCCTCTTCTTCTCATTCCTTCAGTTTCTCTCTCTAAAATCTTTATATAAATAAAAAAATCAACCAAGTGTCTAAGGTTTCCTTGAAATAGAGGAGGGGTCCTCTATTTACAGACTTCACTAACACTGACAAGTTCGCGGCCGATGGATCAGAATTTGCAGACTGTGATCTAGAAATGACAACATTCTGGCTCTGCTAGTTCGAGAGATCACATGTTGACTTCATGGTTATGATCCAGAAGTTGCAACTGTGATCTTTATCGCGGTCTCGGATGGGGCAGGTTGCGAGTCGACTTTCGAAACCTCATGATCCTCCTTGGCTGCTACTTCTCCAAGTTCATGCCGGAGCCCTCAAAGATCACGATCACGATCTTTCTCCAGAGGCCGCGATCTTTGGTTGAAATTGGGGTGCTCCTCTTTTTGGTCGTGATCTCTGGCCCTTCTGCCATGATCTTCCAGTTTAGTTCCAAATCCTACACTTGTGCTCTGCGTTGGTGCCTAAAATGAAAGTAACATTGAATTCACCCTAATATGACATGAAATGCTCTGATAAATGAATTTGGGATGCAAATGACAATATATTAACCATGAAGACCAATGAATGATATGAAAGCACCTAGAATATAGAGGCTAAATAACACCAATTTGGCTGTTATTACATAGCCTTCTCTTGATAATCCCCATGGAGAATTGATGAATGTGTACCTCAAAAGGTTGTCGACCACCAACCATGTTGGGTGAAACCACTAGTTATGTACCAAATCATGATATAGGATCAAGTTACTTGTGGTCACGTTCCCAGCATCTCCCTTCTGCATCATGTTAATGCTTGTTTGGCCAAAGTAGTGCACGAACCTGATGAATGTCAGCTGAAAGATGGTCGGGGAAGAGTAACAAGCAACAAACACGACTCCTTTATCTTTTGTGATCCTCTTCCAAAGTTCTTAGAGGATAGCCATATGTGCCATGGGTTCCCAATAAGCTCCAAGGGTGACATCTGAGGGTGTATCTCCCCTATGATGGTATGGGATTCCTAGCTTCTCAGCTAAGCTATCATAACTCTACGTGAAGGGTCGTCCCACCAATCTTTAGGAGATGTTGGTCTGGCTTGAGCTTCCTTTTGCTCCTACTATCAATTAGCCAGGAACTCTCGAGTGAGAACATAGTTGTTTTATCCTCTGATTAGCTAAATAATAACTATAGATCGGCATCGTCGAGTCTCTGCCTTAATTGTGCTCCCCATCCGAGTGAGAACATACTTGCTTTATCCTCTTTGTTGGTCCACTGGTATGTCTCTCCATCACTGCACTTTCTTTTCACTAGAACTACCATTGGGGAACTGGAGGAAAGGGTCCATGGGTGCCTCCGACGTGTCTTCTCGTATTTCTAACTCGTTATCAGTCCCGCACACCTCGGCATCTGGTGGTAACTGTCCACTCTTTCTCTGCGCTGCTATTGCTGGTGGATTGTCAAACAAATTTGAATTGAGAACTCGCCTTCCTCGAACTCTCCTCCTCTATCACGTGTTTAGTAATGCAAACCGTTGGGGTGTTACATGCTTGGCTCAACTCTAGGTGAACTAGGATCTCGTGTCCTTGTGATGAAGAAGCTCCATCGTCTTCTTTATTCGTGTGTTGGCCCATCCTTTTGAGAAATTAATTCATTTTTCTGCTTAAGAGAAACCAAGTTAGTATAGATAGTAAGGGATGACCCCACACTTTAAGAGCGTGGTTTCTTCTATAAGCTTATTATATAACTTCTCAAGTACGCATTAACAAGATAGTAATCCATGTACTTCATTTATAATTCAAGCTCATGTAAAGATAGGAAATATTCCAGTTCAAAATTTAGAAGTAGCATGAAGTACATATCTTGAAAATTTTTAAAACTTTGAAAGCTCCAAGTCATAAGATTAGTCAACGGTCGATTATTAAGTTGGCACAATTGAAATGGCTTGACACTTACTCCAACTCAGTAGTGAAACTTAAACTAAGAATGTCCTACTCCAATTGAAATTTCAAAATCTCAAAACTTCTGGAAACAATTGTCGAAATTTAGTATAGTTTACGTTAAAGCTCAATCTGAAGGATGCTATACTAGAAATTTCAAACTTTTGGCATGACCTTTGCTCAAAATATCAATCCATCCAAGCATTGACTCGCTCTGACTATCACAATAAATCGCACCGAAGGTCTAAGTATAAAACTTAGATGGGTGCAATATAGAGCAAGTATGTTTAAATATCAACCCGAGCCGGCCCATGTACCGCTACTTTGATGGTTTGAAATATTATCTACCGGATGGTTTTGGTGAAAACAAAGATCTAAAGCTAAAGTACTTGCAAAGAGAAATGGGTTTGACACTAATTGAGAAGGCTTCACCCCGGTGTTGCTCCCCCTAGCTAGCAATTACGACTTGATGGATCGAATGGCCGTGTCTAGCGAAGGGGTTGTACACCACAGGGAAGTCTAACAAGTAGCGAAAGTTACCCTCTTAGTCTCTTGGTCAAGGAAAGGGGATACTATCCAAGCCACTAATGCGACTCTCTCAACCTGTTGACTAAGGATTGGTTAGACTTCACCCTCAAATTCGAGTTCGGACGGCCACCCACAACCAAACCCTAGGTGCTAATATGAAATAGGAGGTTTGCCCTGCATTAACCTAACTAGGAGACAATGAATTGCCCAAGTAAACCCAGCTGACCTTTTATACTGAGATCATGCCCAGTTCATGGCCCAAGTTCATGGCTGTGAACATCAAGATGCGTCCGTGAACACAGTGAGCTTGATCAAAACGCACCACTTCACTTCTGGGGGTTCA